CAGTAAGGACCCAGGTGTCGGTAGTAATGTCTTCCCAGGTTGGAAGGAAGGGGAAGAGTCAGGTCCCGACCAGTGTTCCCTCTAAGCTGAGTTAGTGTGAGCTAGCTCACAATTTTTTAGCCTCTGGCTCACACATTTTTGTCTTAGCTCAGGAAGGATGGCTCCAGAGCAAACAAATGTATGCAGTAGCAAAATCGCTCGCTCAGAACTTTAATGCCAGTAGCTCACAAAGCAGAACTTTTGCTCACAAGACTCCACAGCTTAGAGGGAGCATTGGTCCCGACGGGAGAGGTGAAAAAAAGCGGCGGTGGCAGGCGATCCAGGTGGTCAAATGGACTGCTTGGGTTGTTGCGACTTCTTGGGCACTTGGGACCTTGGCTTTTGAGGAGGTGGACAAGAATCATAGGGTCGTCGCCTCCATTGCGTGGCGGCAGCAGGAAAAGGCTGACGTTTATCATAGTAGGGATTCCATTGTCGGTATCGAGAGCGCAGTGTGGAAGTAGAGACTCCTAAATTCCTACCATTATTTCTACTATCATCAACAGCCTTCAGGGTCTCATCCGTTGTGGAGTGAAAGAGACCCTCGCCATCAAGGGGCAAGTCTTTGATCTTAACCTTGACATCAGTTTGAAGAGATGTATTTCTAAGCCAGACATGGCGCCGAAGAGCAATGGAAGATGTAAGGACCTTGGAAGAACAAGTAATGGCGTGCTGTACCGAGTTGATTTGTTATTTTGAAATCGAGCAAATCTCCGAAAGAGCAGCAGATAGAGTGGGCCTATACTCATCTGGGACGGAATCAAGAACTGGATGAACAGCTGTAGCAACATTGAAAGAGTAAGCGGAAAGGTAGGACAGGTAAGTATCAATCCCAATGTTCATGGCAGCCATGGAGTAGATTTTCTTCGCAATGGAATCAATCTTACGGCCCTCACGATCAGGAGGAACGGATTGTCTTGGCTGTTTAGACTTTGAGGAAGAATGAATCATCATGGAATTCGGTGAAAGATGATTGAAAAGGAACTTCCCTGAGGACTCTTGAATTTTATAAATAGCGTCATATCTCTTCGATATCGGAGGTATAGAAGCGGGATGGTCCCAGGGCTCTTTGAGCACCGAAAGGTGTACTGGCAGCAAAGGTAGAATTGTTGACAGCGGCAAGTCTGCCTGGACCAGCTTATGGACGACATCGGTAACCTCGGGGGTATCGGTAGAACCCTGCACTTGGGAGTACTGTAGCCATCCTAGTGACAAGCTCCAAATAAGCCTTGGACCCTTCAGTTGGTGAAAGGGAACCAGAACGGCGACCGTTGGGGTCGAGATCACCCGAAACGGAGCGGTCAGACACCGAGTCCGGAGATGGTGATCGGATATGATGAGACACATCCAGAGTTGTCTGGGTTTCAGTGGGCAGATGGTACTGAGGTTCTGATGGAGAACGCTTCAGGGCATGACCTGACGTCGACGCATCCGGAGGCTGGTCAGGCTCCAGGGAATGGATTGAGGCGACAGAGCGCGAGCTTCGAGTGTGAGACAAGATGGGGTGGTGACGATGGAGGTCAGTGTCCTGCGATGGCATATAGCAGTCCCGGTGAGGAGTGGAGGACCTGGAGTAGGAGCACGGGCGATACGGTCTACGATGCCTGATATCCGGGGACCGGGATCTGTAATCAGACCAAGACTGTGATTGGGAAAACAATCTGTGGTAGTCATATGCTCTGCAATCATAACGTGATCGAGTAGATCGGGATCGACTTCTCATAAAGTGCTCCCTGTCATCCAAAACGTGGATAGGCAGCTGGGAGTCACGAGATGTAGAGCGATAGGCAACAGCCCTCAGAGAACGATGGCGAGAAGAAGACTTCCATGGCAGTGACTTAGAGGTTTGACCAAGCGGAATGCAATCTGTCAGAGAGGATAAAGCTGGCGGCGAAGTCGAAGGCTGGTGTTTAGACTTCTGAGCAGAGATTGCTGTAGAGGCCACCTTAGGAGTCAATGTTGAGAGACCACAGATTATCACGGGATGGAGTTTTGGAGCTGAAGTCGATTTCGATGAATTCAATATCGGCGACGAAGAAAGTTTATCATCCCGCCTTTTAGGTTTCTGTTTCGAAGATTTAGCATTCTTGGAGAGAGAAGGCGGCTTCTGAAGGGCAGAATAAGCACGAGATGCTGTTGAAGACATTGTAGGGTGCAATGTAGCTTCTGAAAGAACTGTGCGAAGGCGGGCCGCCCTATTCCTACGAGCCTATCTAGTGAACTTGACACAATGAGAACACAAGTCAACCTGGTGAAACTCCCCCAAACAAATTAAACAAAGGTCATGGCCGTCGTTAGATGGGAGTTTAGCAGGACAACGGCGACACGACTTAAAAAAATAGGGTGCAACCCGTGCAAACACCATCCCGACCAAAGGAAGGGGAAGGGGAGGGGGGAGCAAAAGAACGAAAGTGAAGAAAAATAGTAAAGCGAACTTCTCTCTCTCTCTTTTTGGTTTACTTTAGAAGAAAAACAAAGGAAAGGATCAAAGGGGAGAAGAAGTTAACAAAGAAAGAAAAACCTCAGCTGAGGCGATTTGAAGAATGATCGCTGCGAGGTGTGAACATGAAGGCGGTTGAAGAAGAACTGAGTAGGATGCGGCTCTCTCCCCCGCTCCAGGCATGCGCAGTCCATGCCTGCTCCCCAGGGCGGGAAGCGAGCCCACCAAAAAGACTCCTGAGGCAAGCTCTGGAATATGCTTCGATCGAGGTTGTGCACAGGCGCTCAACCCATGTGTGGGATTGCACAGAGACCACAACGAAGATCAGTTGGATCCCTGATCTGTCACTCAGAAGCTGTCCCTAACCAGTGGCTGCATTGCCTGAGTCTCGCCTCCAATATTCTAAACAGTTTGCTGTTGCGAGTCACTGAATATGTGTTGAGGCAAAATACATATCCCAATCTTCCCTTAAATGGTCAATGGAGTTGCCAAAATACATATTCCAATCTTCCTTTAAACCATCACTGGAGTTGCCAATCTCCCTGTGGGGCCTGGAGATCTCCCAGAAACCACCATGTTCCCCAGCAATAGCACATCATTTCCCCTACAGAAAATTTTCCAGCTATTACAATGGCTGCTTTGGGCAGTGGACTCTATGGCATTATATACTGCTGAAGTCCCTCCACACCCCAAACCCTGGCCTCCCCAGGCTCTACTCCTCATATCTACAGGTCTGGCCCTCCCCTTAGTATTGCCAGCCTCCAGGCAGCACCTGGAGATCTCCAAGATCAGTTCTCCTGGAGAAAATGGCTGCTTTGGGCAATGGACTCTATGGCATTATACCCTGCTGAGGTCCCTCCGCACTCCAAACCCTGCCCTCCCCAGGTTCTACCCCTCATATCTACAGGTATTTCCCAACCCAGAGTTGGCAACCCTGTAACTGGCTATGGAACTGCTTTCCAGACCCTTGGAACCCAGAAGACATGACATAGGAGGAGGTGCTTTTCTACCTTAGGTGCCACTGCATAACCCCAAATCAACATAAGTCAGGGGTGGAGGGAACCATACCTGTTACTATGAGGCTTTCCTCCCATACTAGCAACTTGGGGCAGCAAAATGACTTGAGACAGAACCGTCTTATAGCTAAGCAGAAGGAAATAAACATGGTTTGCCTCCCTCTATTTCCCCCTTCCCTCTGCCGCCCCACCAGCCACAGTCGGGACACTCACCTGGAGCTTCCTTCTAGAGCTCGTTGTATTTCTTCCCACAACGGGCCTTACTCCTAGTACTTGAATAAATATGTGGTTGGGAAAATATTTGAAATTCCTCAGTGTCAGACTCCTATTCTTCGGAAACAGTAATTGAATTCTGGATGCTGGCCCTGTAGAGGGCTTCATAACATTTTCAAAAGCCTAGTACTATATTTCTGAAAACTCTGGTAATTATACGTGATGGACTGCACTTTTTAAAAGCTTAGAAGTGTTGTATAAATAGAATGAAGGGTTAATTCTTCACAGAAACAGAGAGCCTTGAGTGACAGGCTGCTCCAAGCAATCTGATTGGTTAGCATCAGCTGAGCAGAGAAAGAACTGAGAACTGGATGGTGAAGAGAATTCAGTCTGATTTCAGCCCTAGCTGAGAAGAGTCCAGTAGTGACAGTTTTGGAATTCAGCCCTGACTGAGAGCAGTTTAATAAAGATGGAGAACTGGGGGAACTTGGCAAGGAGGAGTGGGTAGTTAGATGGAGACTCATTCGGGCCAAGGAAAGGGGATAGATCTTCTAGAGAGAGAATTAATTTCCCTGCCCAGTCTAAACAGGATTATAGCTCTGAACAGTGCAGAAATCCCTAGTCTGGTGTGGTTAGAAACTGCCTTTAGAGATCTTAAGAGTCAGTTAAAAACTCAAGACAACTACTGGCGCTTCAAGAGAAGGGGTTTGGGTACTGGAAAAGTGTACCAGCCTTCTGGAAACCAAAAGTGTTAAAGAATACTCAAAAGAAAGTATACTGAAGTGTTTGGGGGAAACACTGGAACAAAGCCTTTCAACATCAAGATTTAAATCACTGAGAAAAGCTTAAGAAACTCTCATTAGCCTGAAACTACAGTCTGATTTTACGTCACAGTTATCTATATTGAGTTACTTCAGAAATTTTACCCCGGATTTCACCTGACCTCTCACCTCTATGTTGAATAAAATATTTTGTTAATTTGGAATATAAAAAGTCTTGAGTGACATTTAAGATAAAGGGGGCTCCCAACCCTTCCCCAAGGTTTCTGGGCTGAGCAAACACTGTGACAGGGTGGGACAGCCAGAGTAAAGAAGAAAACACATTATCAGGGCAGCTCAGTCTGACAAGGAAAGAAAAATGGACGGAAAATCTTGCCTCTGAGGGAGGGAAGTGGACAAGGCCGTCATACCATACCACTGGGATACTTTCATCACTATGCATCACTATCCTCTTTAATCAGAATAATTTAATCAGAATTGCTCCTTCCATTTCGAATAACTGGATATACTCACCAGTGTTTCAATGTTCACTACATCTTCACTTCGATAATCAGATATTTCATCAACTGTCTCATCTGCAGAATCATCAGTCTTTTCATCTTTCTCCATGTCATCCACGGTAATATCAATAATATCGACATAATCCTTTCTGCAGTGGTTTGTTTTCACAGTATTCTGTTTTGTGCATCTAACAAATTTCTCAATGTGCTCATCAGTACCCATATTTTGATTTTCCAAAGGAACTGGCCGTGTAGATGTTTTGCTGCAAGGCCTGCTGATTTGAGAAAGGCTGTCCTTAACAGTCTGATCATCTTCCTGAAAACCAGCAGTGATTGTTTCATGAGCAGATGTGTTATAGTTCACCTGAAAATCTGCATCTTTTTTAGCTAAAGACTCTTGAGCGCTATCCACATATTTTTTCCTCGATGTATTATTTTGTGTTTTGGCACTGCTGACTTTGGGTTTCCCTTTCTCTTCTTCCCTGCCTCTCTCTACATCAGTAACAGAGTCACCATTTGGCTTCCTGTTTCTCAATAGCACTTTCAGATCTTTGTTCTCACATTGACTCAGAGGTGATTTAGTCTTTTTCTGCAGCTTCTCTCTTGAATCCACGTGTACTTTATACTTCTCCCATTGTTTCTGGGACTGTACATTAACAAACATCTCTTCCATTTCCAAATGTGTCTGCTTAGCTCCTCTTGAATTAGTAGCAAAACTTTGTGTTTTGACAGACTGTGTTTGCTCCTCATTTGAGCTTTCTAAACGTGTAGCATCCATTGGCTTTTGTAATGAATTGTGTGCAAGAAATGTAGTTTGACTGCATTCCTCAGAAACATTTTCTGAACTATATGGTACTTCATCAAGAGTATCTTCAGAACGTTTGACATTCTTTTTCTTCTTAACCTTCAACTTGATTTCATCACATTTTATTTTCTCGCCAAGGTAAGAGGGGTCTGATGGTACAGCATCAGGCTGGGAGCCAGAAGCCCCATCTGATATTTTTTCTACCATGTCTGCATCCTTTTCAATCATCTCCGGAGTAACAGCATTTCTGTCACATATGATCCCTTCAGAGTGGGAATCTGTTCCTTTTGCTTGGAATGTATTTTCTTCTATCTTGATATTCGACACTGTGGTATCTGACTCAATAGCCTCAACTTCTTGTGTATATGATGTCTTTTCTTCTATATGAACAGCATGGAACTTGTCTTTGTCACTGGTATTTTTTACCTCAAGAGACTCATCTTCTTTTACAATGGAATCTGAGGTACTTTTTTGCCCTGGAAACTGAAGCAATGCAAAACTGCCAGTCTGAAGAGGAATTACATTAGGTGTACTACTTGGTTGTCCAACAATCTTCAAATCTGCACCTGTCTCAGATGCAGTGCTTTTTAGACCTGAGGGAGAAATTCTCAGAGTCAGAGTGCCAGCTTGTGACAGAGGAACGAATACTGGTGCTCCTTGAGTAGCTGAAACAGGAGGTGCAGGCACAGATTTAAGAGTCTGCAATGTCTGGCTTACAGGAGAAGATTGGAGCAAAGCAGAAGTGGCCTCAGTAGAACGGGGTGTAGGCGACATCAAGGGATCTACAATGGTAGGGGGTGCTAACAACATGGAAGTGGCCTCAGTACTAGAGGATTCAGGTGACACTAAAGAAGCCTCAGTAACAGGGAGCACAGACAAAACTGAAGTGGCCTCAGTGGTAGGGGATGCAGACAAAGAGGAAGGTGGTGCAGGCAACACTGGAGTGGCTATGGTGGTTGGGGTGACAGACAACGCTGAGGTGGTCTCTGTGGTCAGAGGTGCCAGGGAAGAAGAAGGATTCATGGACAAAACTGAAGTAGTCACGGTGGTCACAGTCACAGATGAAACTGAAGTGGACTGGCAAACAGATGCATCTGGAAATTTAGAAGGTCCAGGCAACTGGATTCCTACAACTGATCCTGTAACAACAGAATGAGAAAGAGAGAATGCATTAGTCCTTGCCACTGTTTTTAATATGATGAAGACACAGATTTAACAATCTGCAGTGCCCAATATTACAGCTCCAGGTTTTCTACTTGGTTTAAACGGAACAGAACCACACCAGAGCTCTTTATTGTCTACTATAGCATCACCTTCCGTAAACTTAAGAGAAGCCTTTATTGCCATCCAATTTCAAACAATGTCAACTGCCATATTAACCAGCCACCATTTGCAAAAACTAGCCTCTTATCAAGTGTGTATCTGAAGAACTTCGGAACTGTAGGACCTCCCCTACTATGTTCTGGTTTGCCATCTTTATTTGGCTCCCAGGTCCAAGTTTCTTGGAGCCATTTTCGCCAGGCTAGCTTTGTGCTCAGTGGTAGATAAATAATCTTTCTGATGACACCCTGCATGTTATTTATATGATGTCTCTGTATGCATTAGTTGCTAAGAAAATCCATGTGAAATTTTTGTTAACATTTACAGCACTGCAATTTATGTTATGTTTTGGCCTTGGACATTTTAACATCACTCCTGGTTGTAGTATGGTTTTATTGTTTAATTTATCACTGATCGGGCACTGGTTTTTGTTATACTCTAACAGGCTTTGGTTATACAATATCATATATTTTACCTACCTACATACACTGCAGAAAAGCAATGAATGTAAGCCATCTCAAGCATAGGGAAAGTGTTCCAACCCTTTTATCATTCTAGTTGCCCTTTTCTGCACTTTTCCCAATGCTATAATATCCTTTTTGAGGTGTGGTGACCAGAACTGTACACTGTACTCCAAATGAGGTCACACCATTGATTTGTACAGGGGCATTATGATACTGGCTGATTTGTTTTTAATTCTCTTCCTAATAATCCCCAGCATAGCGTTGGCCTTTTTTATTGCAGGTGCACACTGTCTAGACATTTTCATTGAGTTATCTGCTACAACTCCAAGATCTGTCTCTTGGTCAGTCTCTGCCAGTTTGGACCCCATCAACATGTATTTAGTTAGGATTTTTGACTTTAATGTGCAGTACTTTGCACTTGGCCACACTGAACCCCAATTGCCACACTGATGCCCACTTGCCCATCCTTGACACATCCCTTTGAAGGGCCTCACAATCCTCCTTGGTTCTCACCACCCTGAACAACTTTGCGTCATCTGCAAATTTAGCCACTTCACTGCTTACTCCCAACTCCAGATCATTAATAAAGCATTGGACCCAGTATTGATCCCTGTGGTACCCCACTGCTTACCACCGTCCACTGAGAAAATTGCCCATTTATACTCAGTCTCGGTTTACTATTAATTAGCCAGTTTTTGATTCACAAAAATTTTTTTATCCCGTGACTATTGAGCTTACTTAGGAGCCTTTGATGAGAAACTTTATCAAAGGCTTTCTGAAAGTCAAGGTAAACAACATCTATTGGGTCCCCCTTGTCCACATGTTTGTTCGCTCCCTCAAAAACACTAACAGTTAGTGAGTCATAATGAAAACTGAACTGTAATGCACAGTAGTATACATGTACCATCAGAAAAATATTAAAATAGGAAGTATTTATGCCCTAAACAGATTATTCTTATCATGTGAGAAAAACTGGCTTCTAATAGGTGATAAAAGCCATGTCAGCCCCATTCTTCTACTGTATTGGTGCAAGGGCACCTAGAGCACAGCTATTACCCCAGTGTAAAGAAAGAAGACACACTATTCTTCTCTCCATTGCACTGTATTCCTATGCACCCCGCACCAGGAAAAACAGATGGACAATTCTAAGAGACTGTATTTATTGAAGTAGTTTCTTTTCAACTTCAGAAAGCATAACAATCTTTTAATCCTTTACCTGGATTACGGAACGTAACAGGTGGCATGTTGGGTTGGGGTCCCGCAGGTTGGAGCTGATGCAAAGGAACAAGCTGGATAATCTGCCCATTGGGATGTCGGTAGAGATTCACACCTCCAGGATTCCTTAAAGGCTGCAAAATCATTCTTTTCCCTTGAGCAAGTTGTGTATTTTGTGGAGGTCGCAATGCAGGAGACCCTTGATGTACAGGAATTAAAAGCAGTCGTGGTCCCATACGCTTCTCTGCTCCAGGAGATAATCTTGGGGGACTTGTAACTGGAGATAAAGGTGCAGCACCTGCAATATTAGGAAACAACAAACTTAGTATTTATACATATAGCTATACTCAGTTTGCAATTTTATAAAACTGTCTAACCAGATAACAGCAGGATTAATCTGATCAAATGTGAATCTACTCCAATATAAAGTGCCCATCAGCGGCTAGCCAGGAATTTCTAGGAAGCTTCCAAGTATGTCATAAAATAAACTAACTTTCCCCATTTGTTCCCCAGTTATACCCAGTATCCAAGGGTATAACACTGAGGCTTAATCCCAACAGGACAGAAGTGCTACTAGGGAGAAGGTCTGACTTGGGATTTAAGGTGTCACCCATTCCGGATGGGGTTGGACTCCCCTTGTAAACAGCTACACCTTATGCTACCACAGGACACATATCTTAGTTTTTGCTGTCTGAGAGGTAAGAGAAGTAAACAAAGAAAGTATTATTTAGACAGAAATATTCTTTTACATTCACAATATCTAGTAGGACTATTAGCATATTTAGATAGTAAATTAAACTTCATGACAGGGATCCCCAACCTTTTGGAGCCTGCAGGCACCTTTGGAGTTTTGAGAGGGAGTGGTGAGCACCATCCCAAAATTGCTTCCACAAGATGCAGAGCCAAAACATAATACCTCCCTCCTCACTTAACAAAAAGGACTGCTGAATGAGAAAAAAGGAATGAAGGAAAAGCGGTGGAGAAGAGGGAAGGAGAAAAATATTGGGGAATAAAAAGAAAGCCTGAAGGGGAAATGGAACCACAATGCAGACCAATCCTCCTGCTCCTCCAGAGGCTACAGCTGCTAGTGCAACTGTGGTAAAGCCTATCATTTGTATGAGAGCAGCCAATAACAACTCCTGCCTTCCAGTGCACCCCACTTCTGAAAAACTCGGTGGGCACCAGGGAAATTACTGGCATGCGCATGGCGCCCATGAGCACCATGCTTTGTAACACTGAAAACACTAATGGTGTGTTGTCAAACAAACTAATTTTTGCCAAAACATTTTTTAGAAATTCTTTAAAATGAACATCTTCAGTATACAAAAAGAATTATCTAATCCTGTAGATAGCCTTGGTTTAAAAAAAATTATACTACAGATTTTAAATAAAACCCTGTCTTTGATTTCACTCATTTCTAAAGGGGAAAAAAATCATATTTTCCCTAGTGCTCCCTGAAAATTTCCTCATTTTCTACTGGAAAAAAAAGTCACACTATACATTATACCATATTTCATATGGGTTTTTAGTGCTCCCCAATTTCCCTATTTTTACATCAAAAATCTTGAGTTCATTTAGAAGGGGGGGAACACATGATACCCCCTCTTAATTCCCCCCCCAGGTCTTCACATTTCCAGAGACATAGTGCCTTTTTCCACAGATACCCTGCCATCCATTAAAGTATGGCATTGAGACTCTGTTAGTAGTTCTACCTTATATTAGATGGGTAGCTATTACTGAATGAGAATTTTCTGTGAAGCTAATTCTTTCTGTAGTTTCTGAGATCAAGGGCCTCACTCATCTTTTGAGTTAGGCCTCTGAAGGTAAGTATAGCAGATATGTAGTTGGTGACTGCACTTTTAAGTTTACCACAGGCTATACATTTTCTGACTGAACAGTTGGCATGATCTCTTTAGCTTCAGCATAAATGGGGGGGGGCCCTTACAAAATTCTTAACACTTCACTGTGGCTGCACATTTCATGAGACAGGGATGAGAGATATGCAATCTTTCTTTACTGATATTCTTTGAGAAACCATGAAACGCTACCAAAAGGCATCTGGATGGCCCCGAAACAAAACATCGGACTATCAAGAGAATTTATTTTCATAGTGAATTAGACTGTATCCTTAATGTGAATTATGCCTCCTACTTGCTCTGAAGCAGGGTATATGCAAATTACTTGGACAAATTACTAGCTAGACACAAGGGAAACCTCAAAGAAGTTGCTCACAGCAACAACTGAAAAGCCTATAGAAATAAAGCTGCCAGAATACAGGACAGTTCATACAGGATAAATTTATGTTACGAGAGCTAGGCTTCAGGAGAGTGTTCCGTGTATTATTTATGTTTTTATTCTGTAGTTGTGTTTGTTGTTGGAAGCCGCCCTGAGCCTGCTTTGCGGGGAGGGCGAGGTATAAATTTGACAACAAACAAACAAACAAACAACAACAGCAGGGAAGGACAGCTTTCAATCCACTGATAAGAAGATATGCTTGCTATAAGTTCAATATTTTGTCCTCTGTACGTGGAGAAAAGCATCGTTATTGCAGAATATTGAGAAGCTGTATCATCCCCGTTAGGAGATGAGGAGGAACTACTGACAAACAATTTGTTGAAGACATCTACCAAACAGTGTTCTCTCTAAGCTGAGTTAGTGTGAGCTAGTTCACAGTTCTTTAGCCTCCGGCTCACACATTTTTGTCTTAGCTCAGGAAGGATGGCTCCAGAGCAAACTAATTTATGCAGTAGTCAAATTGCTCGCTCACAACTTTAATGCCAGTAGCTCACAAAGTAGAAGTTTTGCTCACAAGACTCCACAGCTTAGAGGGAGCATTGCTACCAAAGGCCATGTCAGCTGAGGCACACAGATCTAGTTTGTAGAGGAAATGAATGCCCTTGTACCCACCCTACATTGTACCCACCCTACAGACCTCTCCAGTGGGCACACTGGGCAGAAGACTGAAGATGGAGCTGTTCCTTTAGGGAATTAGGAGATGCTGGACCTCATAGACCAAGAAGATAAAAGGCTATTGTGGATTCAGTACCTCTCTTCCCTGTGCCCTGAGATGAAAAAGAAATCCAACCAATGGAAGGAAGAGTTGCACTTGATGTATGATCGGAGAGCCAACAACATCCAGGATCTGCTGATTCCTGTAGAAAGCTGGGTTCAGTTTCAGGATTAAGGAAGGATCTATTTTCAAAATGATGGAGTCCTCTTGGAAGGAACAAAGCTCTCATCAGGTTGACTGGACAAAGAGGTCAGATTCTTCTAGCTGAGGTAATGGACACTGGTAAACCCACTTAGAAGGAAAGAATCGTTGGTGGAATAATTTTAAGAGGTTTGAAAGGAGGTTTATGTAACATTCAGAGATTCTCATGGAGGTCCCAAGAAAGGAATCAGTGTTGTGTAGGACTACTGGAGAGGCACACTCAATTGAGAACCTGCTTGATATGAGAGAACACAGCGTGAAGATGCCTCCTGCCAAGTTGAGAATGGAGGACAGAGTGGCTATGCACTTGAGCAGATTGAATCAGAGGTCTTTCTTCAGATCAACATGGAGAACCCAAAAAACTTCAGAAATCCCTACTAATTGAGGGTGAATAGCCCTCCTGCACTTTTTTGTTGTTCAGTCGCACAGTCGAGTCCGACTCTTCGCAACCCCATGGACCAGATCCCGCCAGGCCCTCCTGTCTTCCGCTGTCTTCTGAAGTTGGCTCAATTTCATGTTCACTGCGTCGCTGACACTGTCCAACCATCTCATCCTTTGCCGTCCCCGTCTTCTTTGACCTTCAATCTTTCCCAGCATCAGGGTCTTCTCCAGTGAGTGCTCCCTTCTCATTTGGTGGCCAAAGTATTTGAGCTTCAGTTTCATTATCTGGCCTTCCAGGGAACAGTCAGGGTTGATTTCTTTGAGGATTGACTGATTTGATCTCCTTGCAGTCCAAGGGACTATCTTCTCCAGCAGCACCATAATTCAAAAGAATCTATTATTCGGCGTCAGTCTTCCTTATGGTCCAACTCTTGCAGCCATACATTACTACTGGGAATACCATTGCTTTGACCATGCAGACTTTTGTTGGCAGGGTGATGTCTCTACTTTTTATCATGCTGTTTAGGTTCACCATCGCGGACCATCTTTTAAATATTGAA